GGGTTTATCTAAACTCAATTACCTCTTTCGGTCGCATTTGAATATTAACTGAATCCTACACCTTTTTTTTTTTTTGTGAGAAACATACTTGGACCAGCGTTCGGGACTGCCTTCAGTTTAGTTCACAGGATGTTTGTTCTGATATTTATCTCTTCTTAAAGAATCAAACAAGCAAATTCTTAGTCATATTAAATCGACCCACTTTTTTCTCTCTGTCGTATTGTTTCTCATCTCGTTTAGTTTAACGTTCCAGTAAGAAACTGCTCTGAAGAGAAGTGAGAGTGTTTTATCGTTTGTTGTTTATAGAGCAACTTTGCAAAAAGCATGTAATGATCTGTAATTTATATTCTTTGCCTTCCGAAAGACAACATCTTTAGCTCTAGTCATATAGCCTTAGTGACCCGGCTTAGTTGCTGTTTCGTTGAGGACAATAAATTGCCCCTGAGAAGGAAGGAACATTCCCAACGTGACTCCCTGTACCGGCAAGGTTTAGCTTGATCAAGTGTGAAGGTACATCTATTTTAATTTCGATTTCCTTTTCTTTATCGAGCAAACAAAGACGAAGTCACGAGAATAACTTTTTGACCCCAATTTTCAGATGTTTTAGGTCTCTCGTCATGGTACTGGATTGCTTTCCCAGGGAAACTTCGCGATATTCTTGTTTATTCTGTATACTTTTGTATTTGACTTGTCCAGTGTTACATAGACTTCCTGTTTTTCCAAAGGTATGTACATCAGTGGTAAGTAAATATTCATTGCAATGTGTGTGTATGACGTTCGAAACAGAACCACAGACTGTTGATTAATATGTTGTTCGCTTTACCGCGCATACCTCAGTTGGCCGGAATGTTTTCTTGCAGCCATTTGTATTAACTGAGGAATAACCGAAAGCAGGAGACGCCTAAATCAAGAGTAACAGTGTTTGTACATAGCTTAAACAAACTAACAAGTATTCGTGACTCAAATCGCCTCATTTATCTGCAAGCTGGGACATTTTTACAGCTAATAATCAGTTACTCTGTTTTCGTGTTCGCAAGTTTCAACAGACACTTGTTAAAGACTTGAGAACGTTTTTTCCAATTATTGACGATTCTTGAGAAGTACCGCTATTAGGAACGACTGCTTTATTGCCAATAGTCAACACTGATCTACCTTAACCAAACCGCAGCAGACCTTGACGCGGTATTCATTTCAGTCGCCATTTTAACGGATATACAACTTAAGTTGACGCCATGACATCAGGAGAAACTTGTAGAGAAATAGTTGGTCGGGTTTATCTAAACTCAATTACCTCTTTCGGTCGCATTTGAATATTAACTGAATCTTTTAGAAACATGCTTGGACCAGCGTTCGGGACTGCCTTCAGTTTAGTTCACAGGATATTCATTCTGATATTTATCTCTTCTTAAAGAATCAAACAAGCAAATTAGTCAAATTAAATCGACCCACTTTTTTCTCTCTGTCGTGTTGTTTCTCACCTCGTTTAGTTTAACGTTCCAGTAAGAAACTGCCCTGAAGAGGAACCGAGAGTGTTTTATCGTTTGTTGTTTATAGAGCAACTTTGCAAAAAGCATGTAATGATCTGAAATTATTCTTTCCTTCAGAAAGACGACATCTTTAGCTCTACTGAGTCATATACTGCCTTAGTGACCTTAGTTGCTATCTTGTTGAGGACGATAAATTGCCCCTGAGAAGGAAGGAACATTCCCAATGTGACTCCCTATAACGGCAAGGTTTAGCTTGATCAAGTGTGAAGGTAAATCTGCTTTCGATTTCCTTTTCTTTATCCAGCAAACAAAGATGAAGTCACGAGAATGACTTCTTGACCCCAATTTGCAGATGTTTTGGGGCTTTCGTCATGGTATTGGATTGCTTTCCCTGAAAAACAGATTTCGCGATACTCTTCTCTATTCCGTATACTTTTGTATTTGACTTGTCCATTATTACATAGACTTCTTGTTTTTCAAAAAGAATGTACATCAGTGGTAAGTAAATATTGATTGCAATGTGTTGTTTATCAGTGACGTTCGAAACAGAACCACAGACTGTTAATCAATATATGTTGTTCGCTTTACTGCGCATACGTCAGTTGGCCAGGACGTTTTCTTGCAGTCATTTGTATTAACTGAAGTATAACTGAAAGAAGAAGACGCCTGAATCAGAAGTAACAGTGTTTGTACATAGCTTAAACAAACTAACTAGTATTCCACGAAAAATGAATACGACTCAAATCGCCTCATTTATCTGCAAGCTGGGACATTTTTGCAGCTAATAATCTGTTACTCTGTTTTCGTGTTCGCAAGTTTCAAAAGACACTTGTGAAGACTTGTGAACGCCTTTTCCACTTATTGACGATTCTTGAGAAGTACCGCTATTAGGAACGACTGCTTTATTGCCAATAGTCAACACTGATCTACTTCAACCAAACCGCAGCAGACCTTGACGCGGTATTTCAGTCGCCATTTTATCGGATATACAACTTAAGTTGACGCCATGACATCAGGAGAAACTTGTAGAGAAATAGTTGGTCGGGTTTATCTAAACTCAATTACCTCTTTCGGTCGCATTTGAATATTAACTGAATCTTTTAGAAACATGCTTGGACCAGCGTTCGGGACTGCCTTCAGTTTAGTTCACAGGATATTCATTCTGATATTTATCTCTTCTTAAAGAATCAAACAAGCAAATTAGTCAAATTAAATCGACCCACTTTTTTCTCTCTGTCGTGTTGTTTCTCACCTCGTTTAGTTTAACGTTCCAGTAAGAAACTGCCCTGAAGAGGAACCGAGAGTGTTTTATCGTTTGTTGTTTATAGAGCAACTTTGCAAAAAGCATGTAATGATCTGAAATTATTCTTTCCTTCAGAAAGACGACATCTTTAGCTCTACTGAGTCATATACTGCCTTAGTGACCTTAGTTGCTATCTTGTTGAGGACGATAAATTGCCCCTGAGAAGGAAGGAACATTCCCAATGTGACTCCCTATAACGGCAAGGTTTAGCTTGATCAAGTGTGAAGGTAAATCTGCTTTCGATTTCCTTTTCTTTATCCAGCAAACAAAGATGAAGTCACGAGAATGACTTCTTGACCCCAATTTGCAGATGTTTTGGGGCTTTCGTCATGGTATTGGATTGCTTTCCCTGAAAAACAGATTTCGCGATACTCTTCTCTATTCCGTATACTTTTGTATTTGACTTGTCCATTATTACATAGACTTCTTGTTTTTCAAAAAGAATGTACATCAGTGGTAAGTAAATATTGATTGCAATGTGTTGTTTATCAGTGACGTTCGAAACAGAACCACAGACTGTTAATCAATATATGTTGTTCGCTTTACTGCGCATACGTCAGTTGGCCAGGACGTTTTCTTGCAGTCATTTGTATTAACTGAAGTATAACTGAAAGAAGAAGACGCCTGAATCAGAAGTAACAGTGTTTGTACATAGCTTAAACAAACTAACTAGTATTCCACGAAAAATGAATACGACTCAAATCGCCTCATTTATCTGCAAGCTGGGACATTTTTGCAGCTAATAATCTGTTACTCTGTTTTCGTGTTCGCAAGTTTCAAAAGACACTTGTGAAGACTTGTGAACGCCTTTTCCACTTATTGACGATTCTTGAGAAGTACCGCTATTAGGAACGACTGCTTTATTGCCAATAGTCAACACTGATCTACTTCAACCAAACCGCAGCAGACCTTGACGCGGTATTTCAGTCGCCATTTTATCGGATATACAACTTAAGTTGACGCCATGACATCAGGAGAAACTTGTAGAGAAATAGTTGGTCGGGTTTATCTAAACTCAATTACCTCTTTCGGTCGCATTTGAATATTAACTGAATCTTTTAGAAACATGCTTGGACCAGCGTTCGGGACTGCCTTCAGTTTAGTTCACAGGATATTCATTCTGATATTTATCTCTTCTTAAAGAATCAAACAAGCAAATTAGTCAAATTAAATCGACCCACTTTTTTCTCTCTGTCGTGTTGTTTCTCACCTCGTTTAGTTTAACGTTCCAGTAAGAAACTGCCCTGAAGAGGAACCGAGAGTGTTTTATCGTTTGTTGTTTATAGAGCAACTTTGCAAAAAGCATGTAATGATCTGAAATTATTCTTTCCTTCAGAAAGACGACATCTTTAGCTCTACTGAGTCATATACTGCCTTAGTGACCTTAGTTGCTATCTTGTTGAGGACGATAAATTGCCCCTGAGAAGGAAGGAACATTCCCAATGTGACTCCCTATAACGGCAAGGTTTAGCTTGATCAAGTGTGAAGGTAAATCTGCTTTCGATTTCCTTTTCTTTATCCAGCAAACAAAGATGAAGTCACGAGAATGACTTCTTGACCCCAATTTGCAGATGTTTTGGGGCTTTCGTCATGGTATTGGATTGCTTTCCCTGAAAAACAGATTTCGCGATACTCTTCTCTATTCCGTATACTTTTGTATTTGACTTGTCCATTATTACATAGACTTCTTGTTTTTCAAAAAGAATGTACATCAGTGGTAAGTAAATATTGATTGCAATGTGTTGTTTATCAGTGACGTTCGAAACAGAACCACAGACTGTTAATCAATATATGTTGTTCGCTTTACTGCGCATACGTCAGTTGGCCAGGACGTTTTCTTGCAGTCATTTGTATTAACTGAAGTATAACTGAAAGAAGAAGACGCCTGAATCAGAAGTAACAGTGTTTGTACATAGCTTAAACAAACTAACTAGTATTCCACGAAAAATGAATACGACTCAAATCGCCTCATTTATCTGCAAGCTGGGACATTTTTGCAGCTAATAATCTGTTACTCTGTTTTCGTGTTCGCAAGTTTCAAAAGACACTTGTGAAGACTTGTGAACGCCTTTTCCACTTATTGACGATTCTTGAGAAGTACCGCTATTAGGAACGACTGCTTTATTGCCAATAGTCAACACTGATCTACTTCAACCAAACCGCAGCAGACCTTGACGCGGTATTTCAGTCGCCATTTTATCGGATATACAACTTAAGTTGACGCCATGACATCAGGAGAAACTTGTAGAGAAATAGTTGGTCGGGTTTATCTAAACTCAATTACCTCTTTCGGTCGCATTTGAATATTAACTGAATCTTTTAGAAACATGCTTGGACCAGCGTTCGGGACTGCCTTCAGTTTAGTTCACAGGATATTCATTCTGATATTTATCTCTTCTTAAAGAATCAAACAAGCAAATTAGTCAAATTAAATCGACCCACTTTTTTCTCTCTGTCGTGTTGTTTCTCACCTCGTTTAGTTTAACGTTCCAGTAAGAAACTGCCCTGAAGAGGAACCGAGAGTGTTTTATCGTTTGTTGTTTATAGAGCAACTTTGCAAAAAGCATGTAATGATCTGAAATTATTCTTTCCTTCAGAAAGACGACATCTTTAGCTCTACTGAGTCATATACTGCCTTAGTGACCTTAGTTGCTATCTTGTTGAGGACGATAAATTGCCCCTGAGAAGGAAGGAACATTCCCAATGTGACTCCCTATAACGGCAAGGTTTAGCTTGATCAAGTGTGAAGGTAAATCTGCTTTCGATTTCCTTTTCTTTATCCAGCAAACAAAGATGAAGTCACGAGAATGACTTCTTGACCCCAATTTGCAGATGTTTTGGGGCTTTCGTCATGGTATTGGATTGCTTTCCCTGAAAAACAGATTTCGCGATACTCTTCTCTATTCCGTATACTTTTGTATTTGACTTGTCCATTATTACATAGACTTCTTGTTTTTCAAAAAGAATGTACATCAGTGGTAAGTAAATATTGATTGCAATGTGTTGTTTATCAGTGACGTTCGAAACAGAACCACAGACTGTTAATCAATATATGTTGTTCGCTTTACTGCGCATACGTCAGTTGGCCAGGACGTTTTCTTGCAGTCATTTGTATTAACTGAAGTATAACTGAAAGAAGAAGACGCCTGAATCAGAAGTAACAGTGTTTGTACATAGCTTAAACAAACTAACTAGTATTCCACGAAAAATGAATACGACTCAAATCGCCTCATTTATCTGCAAGCTGGGACATTTTTGCAGCTAATAATCTGTTACTCTGTTTTCGTGTTCGCAAGTTTCAAAAGACACTTGTGAAGACTTGTGAACGCCTTTTCCACTTATTGACGATTCTTGAGAAGTACCGCTATTAGGAACGACTGCTTTATTGCCAATAGTCAACACTGATCTACTTCAACCAAACCGCAGCAGACCTTGACGCGGTATTTCAGTCGCCATTTTATCGGATATACAACTTAAGTTGACGCCATGACATCAGGAGAAACTTGTAGAGAAATAGTTGGTCGGGTTTATCTAAACTCAATTACCTCTTTCGGTCGCATTTGAATATTAACTGAATCTTTTAGAAACATGCTTGGACCAGCGTTCGGGACTGCCTTCAGTTTAGTTCACAGGATATTCATTCTGATATTTATCTCTTCTTAAAGAATCAAACAAGCAAATTAGTCAAATTAAATCGACCCACTTTTTTCTCTCTGTCGTGTTGTTTCTCACCTCGTTTAGTTTAACGTTCCAGTAAGAAACTGCCCTGAAGAGGAACCGAGAGTGTTTTATCGTTTGTTGTTTATAGAGCAACTTTGCAAAAAGCATGTAATGATCTGAAATTATTCTTTCCTTCAGAAAGACGACATCTTTAGCTCTACTGAGTCATATACTGCCTTAGTGACCTTAGTTGCTATCTTGTTGAGGACGATAAATTGCCCCTGAGAAGGAAGGAACATTCCCAATGTGACTCCCTATAACGGCAAGGTTTAGCTTGATCAAGTGTGAAGGTAAATCTGCTTTCGATTTCCTTTTCTTTATCCAGCAAACAAAGATGAAGTCACGAGAATGACTTCTTGACCCCAATTTGCAGATGTTTTGGGGCTTTCGTCATGGTATTGGATTGCTTTCCCTGAAAAACAGATTTCGCGATACTCTTCTCTATTCCGTATACTTTTGTATTTGACTTGTCCATTATTACATAGACTTCTTGTTTTTCAAAAAGAATGTACATCAGTGGTAAGTAAATATTGATTGCAATGTGTTGTTTATCAGTGACGTTCGAAACAGAACCACAGACTGTTAATCAATATATGTTGTTCGCTTTACTGCGCATACGTCAGTTGGCCAGGACGTTTTCTTGCAGTCATTTGTATTAACTGAAGTATAACTGAAAGAAGAAGACGCCTGAATCAGAAGTAACAGTGTTTGTACATAGCTTAAACAAACTAACTAGTATTCCACGAAAAATGAATACGACTCAAATCGCCTCATTTATCTGCAAGCTGGGACATTTTTGCAGCTAATAATCTGTTACTCTGTTTTCGTGTTCGCAAGTTTCAAAAGACACTTGTGAAGACTTGTGAACGCCTTTTCCACTTATTGACGATTCTTGAGAAGTACCGCTATTAGGAACGACTGCTTTATTGCCAATAGTCAACACTGATCTACTTCAACCAAACCGCAGCAGACCTTGACGCGGTATNCATTTTGCCCAACACTTCCGCCATTATACTTGTATGCTCCAGATCCCACTCGGTCGAGACCCATGTTCCTGTTAGGGGAGAGGCGGGGATGGTGGGTGGGGGGGGTGCGGATGAGTGTGTTTTGTGTATTAACTGAATCCTACTCTTTTTTTGGAGAAACATGCTTCGACCCTGCAGCGTTCGGGACTGCTTCCAGTTTAGTTCACAGGATATTTGTTCTGATATTTATCTCTTCTTAAATTAAGAATCAAACAAACAAATTCTTAGTCAAATTAAACCGACCCACTTTTTTTCCCCTCTCGTGTTGTTTCTCATCTCGTTTAGTGTAACGTTCCAGTAAAAAACAGCCCTGAAGGGGAGCTAGAGCTGAGAGTTTTTTTATCGTTTGTTGTTTATAGAGCAACTTTGCAAAAAGCCTGTAATGATCTGTAATTATTCTTTCCTTCCGAAGACAACATCTTTAGCTCTAGTCATATAGCCTTAGTGACCTTAGTTGCTGTCTCGTTGAGGACGATAAATTACCCCTGTGAAGGAAGGAACATTCCCAACGTAACGTGACTCCCTATAGCGGCAAGGTTTAGCTTGATCAAGTGTAAAGGTAAATCTACTTTCGATTTCGTTTTCTTTATCGAACAAACAAAGACGAAGTCACGAGAATGACTTTTTGACCCCAGTTTTCAGATGTTTTGGGGCTTTTGTCATTGTATTGGATTGCTTTCCCAGAAAAACAGATTTCGTAATACTCTTCTCTTAATATTCTGTATACTTTTGTATTTGACTTGTCCAGTATTACATAGACTTCTTGTTTTTCCAACGGAATGTACATCAGTGGTAAGTAAATATTGATTGCAATGTGTTGTTCATGAAGTTCGACAGTTGATTATGTCGCTCGCTTTACCGCGCATACCTCAGTTGGCCGGGATGTTTTGCTGCAGTCATTTCTGAAGTATAACTGAAAGAAGAAGACGCGTAAATCAAAAGTAACAGTGTCTGTACATAGCTTAAACAAACTAACAAATAATCCACGAAAAGTTAATGTCTCAAATCGCCTCACTTAGCTGCAAGCTGGGACATTTTTACAGCTAATTATCTGTTACTCTGTTTTCGTGTTCGCAAGTTTCAACAGCCTGACACTTGTCAAGACTTGTGAACGTTTTCTCCAATTCTTGACGATTCTTGAGAAGTACCGCTATTAGGAACGACTGCTTTATTCCAACAGTCAACACTGATCTACCTCAACCAAACTGCAGTAAGACCTTGACGCGGTATTTCAGTCGCCATTTTATCGGATATACAACTTAAGTTGACGCCATGACATCAGGAGAAACTTGTAGAGAAATAGTTGGTCGGGTTTATCTAGACTCAATTGCCTCTTTCGGTCGCATTTGAATATTAACTGAATCTTTGAGAAACATGCTTCGACCAGCGTTCGGGACTGCCTTCAGTTTAGTTCACAGGATATTCATTCTGATATTTATCTCTTCTTAAAGAATCAACCAAACGAATTCTTAGTCAAATTAAATTGACCCCCTTTCTTTTCTCTCTCGCGTTTTCTCATCTCGTTTAGTTTAACGTTCCAGTAAGAAACTGCCCTGAAGAGGAGCTAAGAGTGTTTTATCGTTTGTTGTTTACAGAGCAACTTTCCAAAAAGCATGTAATGATCTGTAATTTATATTCTTTCGACCTTCAAAAAGACAACATTTTTAGCTTTAGTCATATAGCCTTAGTGACCTTAGTTGCCGTCCCGTTGAGGACGATAAATTGCCCCTGAGAAGGAAGGAACATTCCCAACGTGACGCCCTGTAACGGCAAGGTTTAGCTTGATCGAGTGTGAAGGTACATCTACTTTCGATTTCCTTTTCTTTATCGAGCAAACAACGACGAAGTCACGAGAATGACTTTTTGACCCCAATTTTCAGATGTTTTGGAGCTTTCGTCATGGTATTGGATTGCTTTCTCAGAAAAACAGATTTCGCGATACTCTTCTCTATTCTGTATACTTTTGTATTTGACTTGTCCATTATTACATAGACTTCTTGTTTTTCCAAAGGAATGTACATCAGTGGTAAGTAAATATTGATTGCAATGTGTTGTTTATCAGTGACGTTCGAAACAGAACCACGGACTGTTGATTAATATGTTGTTTGCTTCATTTTACTGCGCATACCTCAGTTGGCCGGGATGTTTCCTTGCAGTCATTTGTATTAACTGAAGTATAACTGAAAGAAGAAGATGCCTAAATCAAAAGTAACAGTGTTTGTATATAGCCGTAGCTTAAACAAACTAACAAGTATTCTACCAAAAATGAATGACTCAAATCGCCTCATTCATCTGGAAGCTGGGGCATTTTTGCAGCTTATAATCTCTTACTCTGTTTTCGTGTTCGCAAGTTTCAGCAGACACTTGTGAAGACTTGTGAACGCTTTTTCCAATTCTTGACGATTCTTGAGAAGTGCATGGCACGCATTTGGAAACGACTGCTTTATTGCCAATAGTCAACACTGATCTACCTTAACCAAACCGCAGCAGACCTTGACGTGGT